CCCCCTCCCTCGTGTCTGGCCACTCCCCAGGGGCCCACCGCGCAGCAGGCCGGCTGACTCAGTGAGTGGGAGCCCAGCCATGCCAGCAGGGCTTCAGCCCATGCCCGGGTGTCTGCCTTGGCCAGGGGGCGGGGGGCGGGGGGTGAGGTGGCCATTTGGGGTAGACACAGCCTCTCTAGCCCACACCCCCCCAGAAAGGCCAGAGGGCTCCCTGGGGATGAGTTGCCTTTGCACTCAGATGACAGTGGCTTTCCCTTAGCTGCCACCAGCCCTGAAACTTCCCGAGTAGCCTCTCTCCAGAGGGGACTCAGAGGGGCTCGGAATGGGAGAGGGAAGAGCCCACCTTCCTAGGGATGCCCTGGGAGCTTCAACCGGAGGGGGCCCAAGGGCCTCCTGCCTGAGGCATTGCAGCTCCTCTGCCCCCGCCAGGCCCTGTTTATGGCCTGGGCCCACCAGGCATGGACCCAGCTTTGCACACACGCGCGACTTCCTCCGTGCACTACAGAGCCCACGACGGGCACGCGACACAGCAGTGAGCACCATAGCGGGACTCTGCCTCCCAGGTTTCCCTCCCAGAGGAAGGGCTCCAGGACCCCCGAGCACGCCAGTCACTTGTCACCCCCGTCACATTCCCTCTGCCCCCGCAGTCCCGCCTCTCTGCACTGCCTCAATCTCCACTGCTAGGGAGAGGGAACCCTACCCCCGGAGCCCGGGCTCCCTGCCCCAGACATCCGGAGGGTCAGGGATGAAAGATCTTTCACAGAGAACGAATAAAAAAAGGAGAAGTAGTGGGTTTGGACCTCAAGAAAACAACTTCTCCAAAGCGTTCCAGAAAAAGAAAGAGAGATGACTTTCAGACTTTGTTTTCTCTTAGAAACGTTGCAGGCTTGTTTCCTTTGCTTGGATTTGGGGTGGGGTCAGGGAAGATGGGGAGTTGCTACCAGGAATGGAAAAGGTATTTTTCCCCAGTAAGGAGGGGGAGAAAGGGGGGGCAAAGAGATCCAAAAGTCCTGGTTTCTTCAGCCACCTCTGTGTTGAGAGTGCAAAGACTACGTGAAGTGTTTTGCGAAGTACTCAGGGGAAAGCCCCTTGACTTGTCCTTTCTGACCTGTGCGACTAATGACATTCACCGGGGAAATGTGTCCCTGGGGAGACCAGAGTGCCCGCTTCCTTGTCTGTGTCACCACGGGGGTGCCGAAGTCCTCTGACCTCAGGTTGCTCGCGGGGGCTGTTTTGCACTGTAGGAAACAGAAACCAGAACAGAAAACCTGGGAGGCAGAGTCCCGCTATGGTGGTCACTGCTGGGGCGGGCAGGCCAGGGAGAGAGGACAGGCGGGGCACAGCAGCCCGTGTGCCATGGAGGGTCAGCTCGGCCGGCGTTGAGACCATCCACGTGCCGGACCCCGCGCCCCTCGGGCAGCCCACGGGGAGCTCAAGTTGAGGGCCGGTTGCAGGTCCTTGGCTTCACTGTTCAGTTTCCCAACCACAGTGGGTGCTTTAGGCCCTCGGACCCCTACAGATGGCAGCTGGAAGAGCCTTAGCAGCTGCCCGAAGCTCTCGGTTTACAGTTGAGGCTCACTGAGGAAACGTGACGAGCCCAAGATCACGTGGCCGGTCTGTGGCAGAACCCACGTTTCCTCACCTCACTTCTGACCACAGAAGGCTATTCTGGTGCTTGGGGAGAATCAGCCCAGGGAATGGAAGGGCCGCGGAGTACCCTGATGTGTCTTGAACTTCCCGCTTCCTTGGCTCAGTTCCCTCCTCATGATGATGAGGACAGGAATAGCAACTGTCTCGAGACGGACGCGAGAAAATATAAGGTCAGACCAGTGCTGAGCACACGGCCAAGTGCTCGGTAAAACGCAGCACCTCCTCCCATCGTTACCGTCACACGCAGGGCTTCGGGCCAGGAACTAGCACACCTCCACCCAGCAGGTGTTCCCTGAGGGCATACCTGTTCGCTGGATGACAGGGCTCACAGTGTGGTCGTGGAGACGCAGTGAACAGATCACAGCACTGTGGGATAAGCTCTCTGATGGGACAAAGTGAAGACACAGGAAGTACAGAGATGGCCCTCCGAGCTTGCTCAGTCAGAGAGGACTTCCTGGAGGAAGGGCTAGCTAGGTGCCCTGAGGTGGATAAGGAGTTAGCCCGGCAGAGTAGGCAGAGGGAATGGCCATGTAAGGACCTGGAGGTGGGGGTGACCCGGCAAGTCCAGAGCTGAGGAAAAGGGGGTCCAGGCAGGGATTTCGATGTGGCAGAGGGGTAACTCAGGCAGCTGAATCCTGCAGCAGAGGAGAGAGAGGGCGGCAAAGCCAGCTCTTTCTCTGGTCTAAGGCCTGGCACTCCAACACCTTCCCAGCTTCCTGTGCTCTGGGAATCACCTGGATCTTTGACCTATGTGACTTTTGACAAGTCCCTTTCTGTCCCTGGGCCTCAGTTTCTCCACCTGTAAAAAGAGCAGCATGTGCCAGTGCGGTCTCAGCCTCCTCCCCATATGGGCTCCTTGCGTCCTCAGAGGACAGCCCAGCTCCCTGGGGAAGGGGGAAGCGGTTCTGCTCCAGGTGGTGGTTCTGCGAGGGTCCCAGAGAGCAGCCTCGTCCTCTCCCGCTCCCCTCTGAGCCCTGGGTCAACTCCAGTTCCTGTCAGTTTTCTGTCAGGCTGGAGCCCCCACCGTCACTGTTTCCGGCTTGCTGGAAGCTTTGACCTTGGCCAGCCCCAACCTTGGAGGGGCTAGGGTGGGAAAGGAGGGGGCGGAGACCAGCTCCCCAAGAAAAGTTCAGGAAAGGCCAGCGAAGGCTCTGCAGCCCGCGGTCGCATTGCTGCCGTCCAGCAGATGTAGGCTGAATTGAACTCGATCCAGGGAGTTGGTTTAGACTGAAGTCAGGCGGACTGGACGTCTCTCCGTGGGGCCTCCCAGCCGGAGGTGCTGGATGGGGTTTGTGTGGAGGGCATCGCCATCTAGTGGTCGCTTTTGTGCTGAGCGCCGAGCCGGCTCGCCGGGACTGCCCGGCCACCCTGGCACAGGGTCCCTCGGCCCTCCCATCTTTCCCATAGGTCATGGACAGCTCGATGCCCCTGATCGGCGAGCACGTGGAAGAGGACAAACAGCTGATTGCCGACCTCGTCATATCCAAAATGAGCCAACTCCCGGTGTCTGGGGGCACAGCGCCCTCACCCCTGAGACCTTGGGTAAGATAGTGGGGACCAAAGGAGCTCCGAGCCATCAGCAGTGACTGGCTGTCTGGGAATGGGGAGCCCCTGGGTCCAAAGGAGATACCCCCAGGAAGGAACCATCTTCGGGAGAAGGGAAGGGGGTGCGGGCAGCCGCTGGGCAAGTGAGGGCTTCGACAGCCTGCCCCTCCTGCTGACTTCAGGGGACTGCCAGGGCCCTTTCTCTACCATCCGAGCCAGAAAAATCTCATCTCAGCTGAGTCGTGGGCACCTATGGGCAGAGGTTACCGACGTTGTCCTTTCCGGGACCTCCATCCCAGGCCTGAGCGTGGTCCGTGTGCACATGAGAAAGCACATGTACACGCATGCCCTTTGTGTGCTCCTGGGCAGCAGTCAATTGAAAGGATGGTGTCGTTCACCCCTCCCGCCCCCCAGGTCCCTACGCAGACCCTCCGCTCCAAGTCCCTGCATGAATTTCCAGGTCATTCCCCAAAGAATGTGCTAGCCTCCCCCCTTCCTCCCCCAGCTTTCAGGAAAGACAAGTCTCAGAACCTGCCCACCCGGCTTCCCCCACTGAAACCAACCTGTGGCAGTAGGCACCAGGTGATGGTCACACTAGAGCGGGCTGCTGGCTGGGAGGGGCCGAGCAAACGTCTACCCTGGAATGTTCTGTTGTCATTCGGGGGTGGTCGCATGGATTTCAACACATGTAACCCTGAACTCTTAGGAAGAGTACATGCCACTCTAGGTAAGTATTATATCGACAAGAGAAAGATCATAAGACCTGCCCTCCCACCCAGGGAGTCAGGGGCTGTGAGGTATCAACAGGCTTCTTTCTCTCCTCCCACTCCAGGCTCCGCAGACTAAATCAGCGAAATCTCCAGGGCAAGCCCAGCTGGGACCGCAGCTAGGACAGTCCCAGGCACGCCCACCTCCACAAGGTACAACCCAGGACGAGCTCCTGAGGGAAAATTTCTGAGGGAGGACACTGAAATTCAGTGAGGGGTCCACATGTGGCTTCCAAAATGCACTCTGGGAAAATCCGTCTTCATACTGACACAGGAAGTCAGGGTGCAGGGGCTCAATATCCCATGTGAGAACAGCAGCGAGCCTGATTCTTTGTCTTACACTCACGAAGAATAAGCAATGTAGACACAGAGAGGGGATAGCAAAGTGGAGTTTATTGAAGGGGAGATCAGCTCCCAGGCAGGAGCAGCCTGGAAAATGGGTCACCAAAGAACTGAGGCAAGGTGTTTTTAATCTTGCTCGAGAGGGGCTTTCACCCAGGCTTGTTCTTGGGGGCGGGGGGCGGCTCATGCATATGTTCCCAGCATGGTGGGGTGTCACATGCCAGATAGGCCTGGTGATTTTTCCTAATTTTGGAGTGCGTACTAAGGTCAGGAGACTTTCCTGACCTAAAAGCTTTGGACCACGCAGACCATTAATGGTCATAAGAATTCTTACATCATTTAGGCTCATGATCAGGGTGTCCTTGGACCCTAATTGTGGTCCTCTGCCATATATTTTGGGCCTCTCGGCTTATCTCACAATTTCCACTAGGCCTGGGTGTTTAGATTCCAAAGTTAGGAGTTGTCTGCCCCTGACTCTAATTATTTTTGCGTGTGACCTGTGAGAGAGGTTACAACTGCGGGCTCCATTTGGCGTCCATCCATAGAAGCAGGTGATAAAGGAGAAAAAAACTAGATTTTTTTTTTCCCTAGGAAACTAAATATATTGATAGCTGGCTGGCTTGTATGACGTTCTCATCATCATTCTATCATGGTCCCCTGTGCACTCCCTAATTAACGTCTACCTCAATACCAATCCACAGAATATGTTCACCTCCCCACCTGCAGAATGAGGACCCCCGTTCACTTAAAGTCAGAGAAGGAGAAAGGGAAATGGAAACTATATCTGTTAGCTACCTACTGTGTGCCAGGCACTGTGCGAGGGCTCTGCTTTCTCATTTTTATCCAACCACTTTACAGTGAGAAGCCAGTATTTCCTTTACACCGACATGAAAGACCAGGCTTTGCCCAAAGAGGCGCAATCAGAAAATGGCAGATTTACAAGTCTGGTCTTTCAGATCTTCTAGAAAATGTCTATTCCTAGCCACTAGTGGTGCCTGATTATAGATCTGTAAGCCAACCAACTGGAGTGAGAAAGAAAAAAGAAAAAAAAAAAATGGAGCATTGTACAAGGAGTCTTCAAAAAGTTCATGAAATGCATATAATGAAAAAACTATGGGGAACCAGCAGTTAGCGTAATGGCTATGTCGCTGGACTCCCATGTAGTCGACCGCGGTTCACGTCCCGGACTCGGTGACTTAAAACTCACGCCGGGCGTGTGTGCGTACATGCCCAAGATCCCGAGAGGAGAATGGAGGAGAAGGGATTGCAGCGTGATCATCCCCCTGGGGGGTGATTTCTCGCTTTCTGTCTCTATGTCTCTCTCTGTTTGTCTGGAGAGCGCACGCGCCCTATAGCAAAAACCTCTCAAAAAAAAAAAAACTATGCATGAATTTCAAATCTTCTTGCACTCAAATGCTAACTTTTTTTTAAGGTTTTTGCCATAGGGTACATGCACTTACTTGCCAGAGAGACAGAGACAGACAATGAGAGGGAAAGTGAAAAATCATCTCCTGTAGCAATAGCCATGCTGCAACCCCTTTTCCTCCATTCTTCCCCTGGGGTTTTGGGCACACACAAATGCCCATCCTGAGTTTCAAGCTTCCGGGTCCAGGACCAAACTGCGGTCAACCATGTGGGAATCCAATGCCTCACCCATCGTGCCACCTGCTGGTCCCTCAAACTCGTACTTTCATTTCATTTTTCACAACCTTTTTGAAGCCCCCTTCCATATATTAATACTTTATCAATTGAAATTCCTCCTCAAATGGATAAAGGCAAAAAGAACAGTGTCAGTCACTAAGCAGCTTTCTCAAGGAATGTGCACTGCTCCTCCATCCCAGGCAGGCCTTGGGAGGAGACTTGCCTGCATCTCTTTTGCAGTCAAAACCTCTTGGCACACTTGCTGCTCTGGTGTCCGCTTGGAGCTTCAGGGCAGCATTGCATCAAGAAGCCAGGGCAGATGGTGTAATGGTTACATCGCTGGACTCACATAGTCGACCACGGTTCAAGTCTCAGACCCAGTGGCTTAAAACTGATGCTGGGCACATGTGCATGTGTGCCCAAAGTCCTGAGAGGAAAATGGAGGAGAAGGAATTGCAATGTGGCCATCCTCCCTGGGGGGTGATTTAACATTTTCTGTCTCTCTGTCTCTTTCTGTCTCTCTGGTGAGTACATGCACCCCATAACAAAAATCTCTCTTTTAAAAAAAAGAAGCCAGGGCAGGCAGTTTCATTGCAATTTATTAAGGACCTGCTTAAAAACCTATCAGAACAGGGACCAGCAGATAGCATAACGGTTACATCACTGGACTCCCACGTAGTCGACCGTGGTTCGAGTCCCAGACCCAGTGGCTTAAACCTCACGCTATGCGTGCATGCCCAAGATCCCAAAAGGAGAATGGAGGAGAAGGGATTGCAGCATGACCATCCCCTCTGGGGAGGTTGATTTCTCACTTTCTGTCTCTCTCTGTCTGGCTCCCTGGCAAGCACATGCACCCTATAGCAAATATCTCTATAAAAAAAAAGAAAAAAGAAAACTATAAAAAAAAAAAAGAAAAAAGAAAAATACCCTGTCAGAACAAAGGTATTACTGCCATTCTGTGGCCTTCCCAGTCACTTTTATTAAAGCCCCAGATTCATTTCTTCTTGGGAAAGAATCAGTTCTAGACACCGAATGGCTTCCTCTTCCACAGGTTTTAGATAAAATGCCCCATCCATCCTGCTTGTCGATTCTTCTCTTCCTGGACAAAGTATTTAAGAAAAGGGCAACTGCAGAGCTGGTATTTAAGCACATGGAAGCTGGATCCCACACGGCTGACCGCAGCTGGAATCCCAGCCTCAGCTACTTGAAAAACACACCTGGAGCGTGTGCGTGCCTGCCCCAAATCCCGACAGGGTGGAGAAGCAGAGATGGGATGTGACCGTGCCCCATTGGGAGGTGCTTTCTCTCACTCCTTCTCCTTCTCCCTCTCTGTCTCTGTCTCTGGCAAGCACATGTACCCTCTGGCAAACTGGGAGGGAAAAAACCTATTTATAGCTCTTACTGTAATAACTTGTATCTTACTGTCCTAACGTGTGTTGTTCTTAATGTTTATCATTAACAATCCTTATAACTAAAGCAGCCCCCTCAGCTCCTGATGGCAATAATTCTACAGTTATCCGAGTTCAAAAACAACTTATTCATCACCCTACCAGGCTTGACTGCGTCTCTGCCCTCCCCCCCCCCTGCCTGGGGACTTACTCTTTAAAAACACATTTGAGCAGAGCTCTTTTAAAACAGAGAACTACTGTATTCTTATCCCCTCCCTGGCCCAGGGTAAAAACATGCTTGATAAAGAGATATTATTTTAAGGGACATGAGGCTTAAACACACTTTTAGTGAGTTAAAAAACAATCCATTTAAAACCAATTAAGGTAATTAGAGAAAATGCCCAGCGAATTAACATTCAGATTAAAAATAACCTGGCTAATTTAAAAAGAATGCTCTCATTGAGTTCCCCAAATAAAAGATGGCATTATTAACTGTTCACCGTTAATAACATTCGCTGTTCATTATCAACTCGGTAAATGTGAAATTTGCTTTTAATACACTTCATCGTAATTTAGCATCAACCCTTTGCTTAGACAAATACTTTCTAAAAGTAGGTTAATAGTTTTATATGTGCACATAAAAAAACACTAATTTGTTTGTTTGTTTGTTGGCCAAGAAGCTGAGAGAAATAACTAGAGTGATTTGGTGAATTCCAGGATTATAATGGGTATTCAACAAATATTGACAGTTATGGAGGACTAGCCAGATCTTCCAAGAGGTTACCGACTTGGCTGAGTTGAGGAACTCAGAAAAAAGTAGAAAACAGGGGCCAGCAGGTGGCATGGTAGTTGAGGTGCTGGCCTCCCACATGTTCGACCATGGTTCCAGTCCCAGAACTGGCAGCTTGAAAATCATGCCAGGCACAAGAGCGTGCATGACCAAAATCCCAGGAGGAGAGTAGAGAAGAAGGGACTGCAGTGTGGCCATTCCCGTGGGAAGTCATTTCTCATGTTTCCTCTGTCTCTCTCTCACTCCATTGAGTGCACACAACATATGGCAAAAACCCAAAAATAGATTTTTTTAAAGTAGAAAACAGTTTTCTTTGATCTATAGTAGGTTTAGAAAATGAAAAAAATAATCAGCACTTAAATATTAGGGACTTTCACTTAAACATCTAGATTTCTGGCTTCTTTGAGAAAGCAGAGCCCCTAGAAACAGGCCTACTGCCTGCATAGCAAGTGTCCACTGGTGTTTAGTAACAGCACCTCCCTCTGACAGAGAAGAACCTCTCCATTAGCCCCAGGCCCCACTCCTCCCTATTGTCAGATCCATAGTGACAGAGCAAGA